GACATAACAATTTGAAATGATCAGTATTATACACATCACAACAATGTTCCTAACTGATGACATACAAACATGAATCACATTCAAGACACAATAAAAGTAATAAAATTGAGCGTTAATGGTTGATGGCTGACCAGCAGGAGAAATTACATTGAGCCTGACATGATAGAGTTATAGGCTTTGTCTTTGTATGGAAGCTGAGGAGATTAACATTTTCCGAGGCTATTAAAGAAGAGTGTGAGCGATATGCGTTGATACATTCTCTTTGTAAAATCCATCTATGGGTGAGTGTTGCAGATACAGAACTTCCGAAGTTATCTGATTATATCTAGACCCGAATTCCATAAAATTTAAAGATGACAGCATGAAAACAAAACAGGAATTGGAAAAGCAATATGTATTCTATAAACGTTTACCATACCACACTTTTAATTAGACACACCTACAAAAGTAATGAATTATACCTTTTCCATAAGTGGACCAGTAAAAAGTGAGATACGATTGCCGTAAACATAAGGCATGTCAAGAACAGGAGGTCGGCAATTTGCAGCAAACATTCATCTCAGTTCTTTTTGTCTCTCTCACACTTTCCACTCCCTTGAGGCCACGTACAAGTGAAATGCAAACAGTTTAAAACACATTACAGATTCATGGAACCCTTAAAACAGTTGTACAGAATAATAATTAAAAAAAAAATACTATAAATTAAAAAGTTATTTTTTGTAGCAGAATCAAAAGCAACATTTACAATTATTTAATTTTGTATTAAAATATAATTTAGTTTTTTTTTTTTTAAATAAAAATGGTATCAACAAATACATAAATGTATTTCATTTTCTTTTTGCTTCAGCTTTGGAAAAAAAGTAAAAAAAATTAAAAAAAAAAATGCCTGGACTTAACTGCTCTTCCAAATTGTCATGCAATACAGCAGTGAGTATCTAGTGAAGTTTTTCATGATCATTAAAATAAACACAGATTTAAAAAATAAAGATTAGAACAGCTACATGTTGCGCCATGTGGAAGAGGAAGTCATTTCATAGTAATTAACAAGGTGGATGTATTTACATTGATATATTTGGATTTCTTTCATTATTAGAGCATTTCATGTATTATGATATACCTCCTTTATTAAGTAAAACAAAATATATATATTTATATATTTTTTTTTCTTCTGTATAAAAGTTCACTCCTGTGGCTTTAGTCATTCTAATAAAACTTTGGGGCGTATTCACTTAACAGGAAATTTACAACTGTTGAGAAGTTCAAGCTATAACACGTTACATAGCTATTCACTAAGGTGTGAATTGTTGGGAATTCAAAGAGGATTTAAAATTTTAGACTAACGTAGCTAGACTGAAAACACAGCTGATTTGGACAATTTTTCCATTTTGCCCTAAAAATTTGAAATTCACTTTGAATTTACTCATACGTTAAACTTTACAGAATAAACTTTAATGATCCCCAATTCATCTTGGATGGATATATTTTCCAAATTGATGGATTTCAGTTTATTTTTTTGTCTAAAATATGTGGCGAGCTAATTCTTAACTTGCGACAACTTACTATTTAGTGAATATACCCTTACGGTTAAACAAGTTAATACTTTTTGTTGTAGCTTTCACAAATATATACATACATATATGCAAATAACAGATGATCAAACTCCACGATAGAATTTCATTTTTCAACTCATAGTGTCTGTCTATATTTCGGCAGGGCTAAAAGGTTTTCTTTTACACTTACAGATAGAGTAGATGACTAAAGAAAATGAAGAACACACAAAAAAGCTCTTCCCACCGCAGCCTGATGCAAAGCTGTAATGTAATATACAGTATCTTGAACGCTTAAAGGGACACTATAGTTACAAAAACAACTACAGCTTATTGTATTTGTTCTGCTGAGTAGAATCATTCCCTTCAGGATTTTTGCAGTAAACACTGTATTTTCAGAGTTTACATTAAAGCCAAGGGATACCTCCACTGGCTACACCTCGTGTGGCTGCTAGAGGTGCTTCGTGAGGCATTGCTACATAGTGAGCAGCACTGCCATTCAATGTCTCCACCCTCTGCATGGAGACACTGAGTTTTCCTCATAGAAATGCATTGATTCAATACATGTTTATGAGGAGATACTGATTGGCCTGAGCTGTGTTTGACTTGTACTGGCTCTGCCCCTGATCTGCCTCCTTGACAAACTCAGCCAAGTCAATTCTTTCCTATGGATTTCCTATGATGTCAGCCAAACAAGCAGATCAGGGGCAGAGCCAGCAGCTGCAGACTGGAATAAAGGAAAGATTTTGCTATATTTAGGGGGGAAGTAGGGGCCAAATGGGGTTAGATGGTGTTTTTAACACTATAGAGTCAGAAATACATGTTTGTGTTCCTGACCCTATAGTGTTCCTTTAATGAAAGTTTTATATATAATTTTATATATTTGCAAAAGTTACATAGTTATCTTTCATTCTTTCATAGGTGAGAAACGTGTCTTTAGCTATAGTTTCCCGTTTAAAAAAATTAAGGTTGCAACACTTCAAGTATCTGTAAGTCTGACAATGACGCTTTCTACACAAAATAAATCAATAAAATGAAACATGAATATGAACTTAACCCTTTAATTACAAATGAAATCCATGCCATCATCACAGTCTAGTCCTGACCCTATGTCAATATGGATTGCACTGTCTAATTATTAGACAGATCTATAGAGACTTGCTAATAACCATGGAACAACAATGGAACATTCCTTTTAAGAACTGAGTCGATTAAGACCAGCTTGTTTTAAGGGCACAGACCATCTTTGCTTCTTATGGGGTTAATATTTGGCTTTTTAAATATGTACATATATACACACACACACATACATATATATATATATATACACACACACATATATATGTATATACACAAACATATCTGTATATCATGTATGTATATATATATATCTACAGACAGACTTAATTAATCTTATCAACAGTTGTAATTTAAATAACTATAAATAATTTATAGACAATTTACATAGAGAGTGAAGGCGCTGTGGAAATTGAGAACAGTGTAAAATTAATAGTTGTGTCTTTTCAGATAAGCTTAAATTACTCTTAACCTTAAGAAATCTGTCCTTCTTTGTGAAGCAATTTAAATAACGATCCTTGTACTGCTTGCAGCACAAAATAAATGATCCCCCCCCCCAATCCCTCCTTCAATTTACAAAATAACCCTCTATTCTTGTAATAACAAAACCTTTCACAGAAACAGGGATGTTTCTCATTCTGTTTTTAGGTAGGCTGGCATGGAGTAGTTGAACATTAGATAGTCAAGTTTGTAGACTTCGTACAGTTGTATTTGGTGCTCCATGCTGATGTTCTGGAAAAACTCTGCTGTCATTTCGTCAGTAGTTCTGGTAGACTTCGCAAAGGTGGGAAATTTCAAGTAGTTGCTAACCCCTGCCAGTTGTAGGATAAAATTTGAATCTTCTTCTAATGTTTCGTATTTGCCAATAAGATCATAATGGATGTGGCATGGATGGCATAGAGAAAAGACTGTTTGCCAATGCTCGTTGAAAGGCTCTTCTTTTTGTGTATGTGGGTCAATAAGGTAGGCAACAAACTCCTCAAATTTAACATCGTTACCATTATGGAGTGCCTCCTGTGTGGCATTTTTCCTTTGCCGTCTTACTATTTTAGTGCCGTAACGCTTATGGAAAGAAGTGTTGTACTTCTGTGTAAACTTATTTCTGTAGGCTGAGACTAATCTCTCAAAAGGCTCGCGGACAAAGAGAAACTTCATGTAAGTTTTCAAGCGGTGATTAATCTCTGGGATGCTATACTGGTTGAGGGTCTTCAGATTGGATGACACATGGGCCACGTTGGCTGGTATTTCCATAGGATCACTGTATTTACCTCTCCCAGTCAGGACCATCATTACCCTCTTCCAATTTGTACATGCCACTTTTGGCACATAACAGTAGATCATCTCGTGGTCTTCATCCACCACCAAGTGTTTAAGGTCATTAGGTGTCAGCACACGGCGTTTTCTGGTGGCAACACTATTTGCCCGACACATCTCTGTAACTTGGTCTCGTCTCATCTGGTGCAAGACAGCATTGCTAGACAACTCCAACTGTACAAGAAACACAAAGGGGAGACTTTGTTAGCTTACATGTAATACAAATCAAAACACAATACACACTTAATTTACAAAGAACACTTTGCATTTATTTGAGATATGCACTTGTCAATCAATATATTATATTAATTTTACACCTATCAATAAATAAATAAATACAAAAGGAGGAAAGTTTTTTTGAACAATAGCAGGTATGCATTAATGAATTTGTGCCATCAAACAACACAAGAATATATGTTAATACATTATATTTTTAAGCATTTTTTATTTATTGTGTAAAAACCTGTGCCTCATTTATTTGAAAAAGATAATTTAATGCCACTAGTGATAAGAAGTCAGAGTCACTCATACAATAATATATAATTATGGGACTTGCAGGTTATGCCTTTTACAGCTACAAGAAGTATTTATGAAAAGGTAATGACAGTAGATGGAAAAAAAAAGTAGAGTATGCATAAAATATATATATTTTTATTTTTTTAAACTTGTTTATATGTACTTTTTTAAATAAGTGAAATGCAAGCTCAAGCATTAAGATCTTGATGTAATATTATTTGACAAATCTTCCAAATTATTTCATATTTTTAGGATAAACTTTTAAAATGTTTTAATATTATTAAAACGAATTTAATTTTGTAATATTTGGAGTTTTTAATATATGAATATATATTGTCTATATGATGTAATTTTTTTTTATTATGTCAAAAAAATATTTTTTTAAGTGTATCCAAAAATATGAAATTATTTAAAAAACATATTCAAAAATATTATATCAAGGCTAACTTTTTAGCATTAACATCCTCAACTTGTCTGGATTGCTGAAACGTCATACAATGTAGATGTCTGCTTCCAAGAAAAGCTGCAAATAGATTAATCATAGACACTATTGTAATAAATAAATAAATAAAATAGAAGAATATTTCTAAATGTCCAGCCTTGTACGTAATAATTAAATTTGTGGAAGCAATTTTTTTAGTTAAACATATTACTGTCACTGTTATGCATAATAAAATAAACTATATTAAAAAAGAAAGCAATGATAATAATATTCATTAAGATCTGTAAGAATGATTCAATAATGGGTATTCATTATGTGTATTCACTACTCAATTAATAATAGGAATGGGTAGGCTAGACAATTTGCATTTATTTACATTAGAATTTGTTCCTAATTAAGGATATGTTAACCTTGCTTGGACTTTGGGTATTATAACTGTGTGTGCGATAATTGTATAGAAGGTACATCTCTTCCTTTTTAGTTTTCTTTATCAATCTCATAATTAATCTGTAATGAATTATTGTCTTTTCTGTCTTGTATTAAACAAAAAATAAAATGTATGTCTCGGAGGGTAAGTGATAACATTATACATATAGGACCAATACACCTATCTGGTGACCTGCTCATTGACAAAATTGTACAGAATAAGATGCCTTCACTAAGACTTGCAAAAACAAGATTTCACCTACAGCATGGGAAAGAGTTCTTTACAGTAAAAACAAGCGAGATGTGAGAGAATGTTTTATGAAATTCATTAGATGTCTGGATAATCATTCAGAAATGAAAGCTTTAAAACATTGCCAACGGATTGTTGATCAAATAATACTTCTCCCTTGAAGGGTGCTCATTGTAACAATACATGCTTTTCCAGCCACAACAGCGTCAACAAGCTTAATTATAAGAAACAATGGTAGACATTAGTATGGCATTCGAGTAACAGCACACATTTTTTGTTTTTGGTTTAAGAAACATGCAGAAACAGTTTGGTTAACATATGAGATATTGAGCACGCATTGCAATCGGTCCGGTTTAAATTCTGTTTAATAGTCCCGGACTGAGGAGCTCAGGTGATACACGTCTGATCTGTTCAGCAGACAGGCTTCGCCCCCCTGAAGAAATATTATTTTGTGTGGCAGGGTTTGGATCCAGCCATTAGATTTATTTTCCTATTATTCCAAATTCTTAAAATATTTAGATTTTCTTAACATGTGACCTGTATTTTATTCAGTTATAATGATAGGATAGGGCATCAACAGAAACCTCGATCTGTCTTTTAAAAATACAATAAATGTAAGGGGGCAGTAAATGTGATAGAGGTTAAAAGTAAACAGTATATATAACGCCACAGTTTGATAGAAAATATCCTGAAGTGGTTAAACAAAAGCCGCATAAACATATTTCTATCGCCGGTAATTGTTCTGCACCCACAAGAATAACCCAGACCCAGAATGCGTACATTGAACCAATCCCTCGCAAAGGATGGAATCTCAAGACGAACAGACACCTATTGTTATTCTGAACTATATGTCTGCACAGCAGGAAAAAAGAAAGCTACGTAGATAGATGTAAAAAAAACAATTTGTTCATGAAATGTTAGGTTTTTCTTAAGTGAAAAGAAATGTTATAGAATGTTTGCACAATGTTAAAAGTTACTAGCGTATAGAAATGTAATTGTATGCTTAAGAGGGAAAGTTACATATTTAATATTTAAGTGAAATAATAAGGTGCTTCAGCAGGGGTAGCCACAATATTGTTATCCAGGTGAATCCACTTATATGAAACACAAAAATGAAGGGAGCCAATAGTGGAATATGTAGAGTCAATATATATACTAATAAGATAGTAGTAAACTCACATTTCTGAGAGCTATAACCAGCTCTAGCGTGAAGGGCGTACAGCGGTATGATCCCTGCTTGTGATATATGCAGTAAGTTCTTGTCTGTCAGGGTAATGTCCAACACTCGGGAAAGGAATAAATAAAAAAACAACTGATAGTGCTCACTGTATAATCCAAAGTAAACACTAATACAGAAAAGGTAGTATTAAACTCACATTTATGAGAGCTATAACAAGCTCTAGGGTGAAGGGCGTACAGCGGTATGATCCCCGCTTATGGGATTGCAGTAAGTTCTTATCCGTCAGGAGAGATTTCAACACTCAGGAAAGGGGTAAATAAAAAACAACTGCTAGTGCTCACTGTATTAAAATATCAGAAGTAAATAAATAAAATAGTACTCACAAGTATAGAGCGGACTAACCGCACTTTGATGTCAGCGTTGGTGGTTTAATCCCCACCTAGGATATCTTGAAGTGCAGAATAATAAAATGCCAGGTAAAAAATAAAATAAAATATAAAAAGTGTATAAAGAAAGAAGATTGGAACAACAAAGTGACCAAAAAATCTTTATAGAGCTTAAAATACACAATATTAAAATTTCCACATGTTTCGCCTATAAGGAATTCCATTTTGAAGAAGCCTTATAGGCGAAATGTTTTGTGGAATTTTTAATATTACTACTAATACTAATATTACTACTGATCAGTTGTATTTTTTTTTACCCCTTTCCTGAGTGTGGAACACTCTCCTGACGGATAAGAACTTACTGCAATCCCATAAGCAGGGACCATACTGCTGTACACTCTTCACGCTAGAGCTGGTTATAGCTCTCAGAAATGTGAGTTTACTACTATCTTTTCCATATTAGTGTATATATTGACTCTACATATTGCACTCCCTTCACTTTTTTCTTTCATATAAGTGGATTCACCTGGATAAAGATATTGTGGATACCCCTGCTGAAGCACTTTACTTCTGCCCACAGGGAGGTACTCTCCCTGCATCATCCACAGAAGCTGAAGCACCAAAACACGGACTCCTACACGAGCTTCCGAATCCGTGGAGCTGAGATGCAAGCTCTCATGAGGTCCTGGGGCTGGAGGGATGCCGACCTCTGCACCTGCCTGGCACTGCTTTACAGCTGTTTCAACGGGCTCCCAAGCACTGGCATCGGCTGAGGCTGGACTCACTTTGCAGGACTGGTTCCCAGCCACGTTCGGCTGTTTTCCATTTGGCCAACATCGCCATCCTATACTTATGTGCTATTAATTACCTATCTTCACACTAATTTGGCTTTGAGTTCTTTCCTTATCATTATTTTATTTTATAAGTATAAACGGTGCAGGGCTTACTTTAAGCTGCAGCCCCAGTAGCGAACGGGTATGTGGGGACTCAGTGGTTTATATATCTTGTATGTTTTTGATTCTTTCAGTTATTCCTGAACGGCACAGACTAGCACAGTTCCTAATTTATCTAGTCTTATGCCTACATGCCTAGCTAGTCAAACCTAACTGCATTTCTAATATACATTTGACTTGTATACCTAAGACTGTGAAGACAGGCCTGCTTTGTATCTAATAGCCAGGCATACCAGAATAGCTTGCAACTCTAGCTTAATCTACTCCCTACTAATGTGTACTCAGACAGTTTACCTAGCTTGATATCTCTAACCTATTGTAAAATTTGGCAGAACCATCAAAAATGCTATATAACGCAACATTCTGGAATGTACATCTCATTAAGCAATGTGTTTTATTTGTGTTATTCGATGCTCTTGTACAAGCTATTGTGGCAGTACGAGACTCTTCGTTAATTTGCGCACATCCAAAAAAAAAAAAAATTTGCAAAAAAAACATGTTAATCCAGCTTTAAATAACTGGACAAGTAGTATAAATGGTCATGATGTTACATAAAACGTTCTGTAATAGCCCCACCATTGACCCCATCTCATGACCTCTAAAACAAAATGTCCCTCTTCAGCCATATGAAATCATAGGAAAGTAAAGCATCACAAAGCAACCTTTGAACTAAATCATTATTAACCTTTGGGGGTAAAGGAGACAAAAAAAAAATACAAAACAATACAAAAAAATTGACATTGATTTTTTTCTGCCTTTGATCACATCAATAACAATATGGTCAGATCAGTGGCGTACTAAGGGGGGGGCGGGGGGGTTGGGGGGGGCGGTCCGCCCCGGGTGCCACCAGGGTGGGGGGTGCCATGGCCAGCCCCGCCGGCCCCCCCCATGCTGCAGCCGCCCGAGCGCTCTGTAGAGAGCCTCAGGCGGCTGCAGCTTTGCCCGGGCGGTGCTTCCATGAGGGCGGACCGCACCGCCCGGGCGCAGCATGGGGAGAGGCTGACAGGAGGGAGCGCTCCTGTCAGCTCCCTCACTGCAGCATGGTCCGACGGGTACAGAGAGCAGCTGTCTCCTGTACCCGGCCGGACTAACAGGAAGTGCACACTGAGTGTGCACTTCCTGTTAGTCCGGCCAGGTACAGGAGACAGCTGCTCCCTGTACCCGCCGACTATACTGGGCTCGGCCACGCTACAGCAAAGGGAGGGGGATGAGAAAGAGAAGGGGGGTGAGAAAGAGAAGGGGGGTGGGTGAGAAAGAAGGGGGTGAAAAGAGAAGGGGGTGGGTGAGAAAGAGAAATGAGGGGGGGTGAGAAAGAGAAATGAGGGGGGGTGAGAGAGAGGAGGAGGGGGGTGAGAGAGGAGAAATGGGGTGGTGAGAAAGAGAAATAAGGGGGTGAAGGGGGGTGATGGGGGTGAGAGAGGAGAAAGGGGGTGAGAAAGGGGGGGAAGAGAAGGGGGGTGAGAGAGAAATTAGGAGGGGGGGTGATGGGGGGTGAGAGAGGAGAAAGGGGGGTGAGAAAGGGGGGGAAGAGAAGGGGGGTGAGAGAGAAATTAGGAGGGGGGGTGAGAAAGAGAAATTAGGAGGGGGGGAAAGAGAAATTGGGAGGAGGAGAAGGAAATTGGAGCTGGAGGAGAGATTGACATTCATCACATACTCACAATGCACCCCTTGCACCCCTTGCACACAGAAAAACACACAATGCATTACTCACACAGACACACATACACAAGCAATGCAACCGTTACACACAATGCATCCCTTACACACACAGAAACACACAATGCATTCATTACACACACTCAATGCACCCCTTAAACACATTCAATGCATCCCATACATACACAGAAACACACCTTGTAGCCCTTACACATACAAACACAATGCATTCCTTACACACATATCAGGACATCCCTTACACACTCCACCCCCTGTGAACAAACTCATTGGTGGAACATGAAGGTGGACCCTGGGACCCAGACCTTGAGCTGTGTAAAGGACCCCCAAAAAATGGAGCTGCTTCCCGTTCTCCCAGAACATTGATTTTTGTGACCACAGTTACAAACCGCCTCCAGAGAGCCTGTTCTGCACCAGACCAGTGGAGCCAGACTGCAGCTAGAGCCCATCATCATCCTCATCTGGTTGTAAGTAGGCAATCTAGTATATTATTCGTGGCACTAAGCTCTAATTTACCTCATATTAAAGAAACACTATAGTCCCCAGAACCACTTCAGCTTAATGTAGTGGTTCTGGTGTCTATAGCCTGTCCCTGCAGGCCTTTTAATGTAAACACGGCGGCACTGCAGCACTGGCGTTAGTTAACATGGCAAATCATATGGGTGGGGCGGCAAACTTTACTTTTGCCTAGGGCGGCAAAAATCCTTGCACCGGCCCTGGCTGGAGGGGGCTGTGTGAGCTGTGGCCGCACAGTGTCCCATGATAGTTAGGGTGCCGTGCGGCCGCACGGAGGAAATGTGTATGTGTGACTGTCTGCCTGTGACTGTGTGTGACTGTCTGCCTGTAACTGAGTGTGTGACTGTCTGCCTGTAAATGTGTGTGTGGGGCTGCAGGGATTTTGTAGAAGGGGGCGGGGGGTTTGTATTGGGACAGGAGTCTTTATAAGGGGGGATAAGCAGGGGATTTGTGGAAGGGGGTTGCGGGGGTTTTGTAGACGGGGCAGTACAGGATTTGTAGAAGGGGCAGGACAGAGGTTTTGTAGGAGGGGCTTACTTTTTTTATGGGTAGTGCCAAGCACAGGATCCGCCTGTGCCAAATGTACGTCTAGGGCCCTCTGGTAGTGACCCCTAATGTATCACTTACAGCACGTAGAGGTAGAAACCTCAAGGAAATTCTAGTACCCAGTCATTTCTCAGGGAAGAAACCCGGAAAAAACTGGTTATCCACGCAAGGAACTTACAAATGTGGAAGATGTGTAGCGTGCAGATACATTAGTAAGAATTCCAAATGTCTGACAGACTCAAGTGACCAAATGGTGCTTAATGTGAAGCAATTTTTTAATTGCAACACTAAAGGCATCATATACCTTATGGAGTGTACATGCGGACTAAAGTACGTAGGCAAAACTATTCGTCCCCTCAAAAGGAGGGTAATGGAACATGTACATTCTGTCCGAAATCCTAGGGATACCTCAGTGTCACGACACTTGAGGAACTGTCACCACGGTGATTCAGGTGGTTTTAAGTTTGCAGGGATCGAGAAGACCCTCCTGGGACGTAGAGGAGGTGATCTTGATCTTACCCTCCTCAAAAGGGAATGCTATTGGATTTATAGGTTCAAAACTTTGGCACCCTATGGACTAAACGAGGGCTTTACATTCACTCCCTTTATAGATAAATAAGAGTACTCAGGACCAACCTAATATGTTTAGTTATGTGTATAGTGATTGTATGTACATGTTTTTTAAAAAGTTTTAATTTATTTTTTTTGGCACATAAGAGGCTGTGAATTCAAATCAACTTTTGACATGGTAGTATTAGGACGCACATGTGTTACGTGGCTAATGGGGCATTTTGTGACAGGCTTATGAGGGCTTACACAGTTCCCTCTACCCAGTGTCACCGTTAGGGGCATCGTTTATATGTGCTCTATATATGGTACCAACTTCGAGTGATAACTTTAACTAAATGTGCACACTCCATCCATCATAGTTATCCATAATAGGACTAGTCACCACTATTTTGGGATACATATGATCCAGGTTACCAGTTTGCAACACAAGCAATATGTAGATATACTAGGATCTATAGTTATATCCTTACAATACAGCCTTAGAGAATAGAGGTTGATTACATTTACCTTTCTGTATCCACTTATTTATATGCTTCATAAGTTTCTTTTATTAACAAATAATAAACTCCATATTATGGGATATCAGAAAGACAAGATGAAGGGCTCTTTATTCATCTATATATTAATACATTCTGCCCTTCTTTATTACATATTTCTTCCTCTCACTTTAAATGATCGCTCCCCCGATGAGACACCACGTGGACTCGTTTGTTTACTGATAGTCCATTTAATAAATGCTTTGCCACGTAACACCAAAGGGGTGGGGTTTGCTGGGACTCAGTTCATTGAGTCACTAGCAAACATACACACACACACCCCCCTCCCTCTTTCCTGTTCATACGCGTCTACAAATGCATGACGCTACCCAATTACCTGCCGCCAAGTGAACTTGAAGGCGTGGCCTGTTCGGGCTAAAAATTTTGGCGCGAACAGTAAGCACACGCCCCCATTCTCCTACTGGCGGCACTTGGTTATTTAAACAGCCTTGTGTGCACTATGAGGTCTGCTAAGCCTCGGAAGAAGGCGCGTTCTATAGCGCCGAAACATATGTTAGGCAGTAGGCAGGGAGACCAGTGATTTTGATTATAGGCAGTAAGATTAGCGATCTCTTCCTTAATTTACATCTCTCACTATTGATAATATCAGAGAGCTAACAGCTATCTCGAGGATTTTTGGCTAGGGTTTATTTTCTTTCTCTGGCTTACTTCGTGTGGTCTCTTGGTATTATCTGAGCTTAAGATCTGGGTTACTCAAGTGGGTGGGTTGGTATCTATATGTACAGACTCCCTATATGGGAAGGGGGTGCCTTATGCCCTCCACTCTGCGATTTTGCCTCAAGGGATATCTTGTATACTCTGTCATTTGGATATACTGACATCCACTCTGCATTGATACAATGTTCATAGGTATCATTTTGTTGCCATACCCCAGCACTACATGTAGTCAGTGCTATTTAAGCAACCATTGTACCAGCTGTCTATATCACAGTTAGCAACATTAAGGGAGAGATCAGCCAAGGAAGGGCTTTTCTGTCCATTTTTTAGATCCACGTATGTGGCCTCAGTATTAGGGATTTTGCCTTTATTCCTCTACCTGCATTGAATCTATCTCTCTGGTCTCCCTAATTTTTTCAGACCTTTCTTGTCTTTTAATTATGTGTATGTTTTTTATAATTACTATTAAAAGTTACGTTTTATAAACATATAACTCTATTTAGGGGCTTTCTCACTTTTGACCCAGAGGGTCTCTCTTCTCTGTTTTCTATTACATTGTCTGCCTACCTTTGAGTCCTCATATGTTGAGGTTAGGACTCTATCAAATATTCTGTACTCTGTCCTTGGGTTTTTACGTCCAAGATGCATTATCTTGCACTTATCCACGTTAAATGTCAGTTGCCACAATTCTGACCATTTTTCTAGTTTACCTAAATCATTTGCCATTTGGCTTATCCCTCCTGGAACATCAACCCTGTTACATATCTTAGCATCATCAGCAAAAAGACATACCTTACCATCAAGACCATCTGCAATATCACTAATAAAAATATTAAAGAGAATGGGTCCAAGTACAGATCCCTGAGGTACCCCACTGGTGACAAGTCCAAGCTTCGAATATATTCCATTAACTACAACCCTCTGTTGCCTGTCACTCAGCCACTGCCTTACCTATTCAACAATATTGGAATCCAAACTTAAAGATTGCAGTTTATTGATAAGCCTTCTATGTGCAACAGTGTCAAAAGCCTTACTGAAATCTAGGTAAGCAATGTCTACTGCACCACCCTGATCTAGAATTTTAGTTACCCAATCAAAAAAAATCAATAAGATTAGTTTGGCATGATCTCCCTGAAGTAAACCCATGTTGTCTCTGATCTTGAAATCCATGTGTTTTTAGATGTTCAACAATCCTATCCTTTAACATGGTTTCCATCACTTTCCCCACTACTGAAGTAAGGCTTACTGGCATATAGTTGCCCGACTCCTCCCTATTACCTTTCTTGTAAATGGGCACAACATTTGTTCTTTACTTTTGACAGTTGAAATAGAACCTCTTCCTCTGTAAACTCACATGTAATAAATGACTCATTTATCCTTTTTCTTAACTGAGGTCCCTTTCCTTCATTTTCATCTGTAAATACAGAACAAAAATATTCATTGAGGCAGTCAGCTAGACCTTTATCCTCTTCTATATACCTTCCTTCTTTTGTTTTTAATCTAACTAATCCTTGTTTTACTTTTCTTTTCTTATTTATGTATCTAAAAAAAGTTTTGTCTCCCTTTTTTACTGATTGTGCTATTTTCTCTTCTGTGTGTGATTTTGAAACTCTTATAACTTGCTTAGCCTCTTTCTGCCTAATCTTATAGATCATTCTGTCTTCCTCACTCTGTTTTTTTTTATAATTACTAAATGCTAACTTTTAGTTTTTCACTATTTTGGCCACATCTGCGGAGTACCACAGTGGTTTCTTGAATTTTTTGCTTTTACTGACAAGCCTAATGCAATTTTCTGTTGCCTTCAATAGTGCAGCTTTTAAATAATCCCATTTAAATTGCTCCAGTCTGATAATGACTCCTCTACACATATTCTAATTTTAGAAAAGTCTGTTTTTCTAAAGTCTAAAACTTTTGTTTTTGTGTGGTGTGACTCAGTCACTGTTCTTATATTAAACCACACTGACTGATGATCACTGGATCCCAAACTTTCACCTACAGTAATATCTGATACCAAATCTCCATTTGTTAACACTAAATCTAGTATGGCCTCTTTACGAGTTGGCTCCTCAACGACTTGTTTTAGAGACAATCCCAGTAGGGAGTTTAGAATATGTGTGCTCCTGGCACAAGTAGCTAATTTTGTTTTCCAATTTACATCAGGAAGATTAAAGTCACCCATGATGATAACTTCCCCCTTCATTGTCATTTTAGCTATTTTCTCAACTAGTAGATTATCTAACTCTTCAATTTGTCCTGGGGGCCTATAAATCAGACCTACATGAGTTACTGTGTGATTACCAAATTCTAACGTAACCCAAATGGACTCTATGTTTGCCTCACTAACTTTTAATAGGCTAATAGAAAAACGTATACTGGACCTTACAGTGGCCGGACTTTAATTTTGACAGAAAGAGAATGGCCAAGACCAAGCGGGTTCAAGGAATACAGAAATCACGAAAATGAATATACTAGCCCAGTCAGGGAACCAGATAAGAGCGTAGTC